CATATTTAAAGCTCAAATTTCATGTCCTGGTTTTCTTTTATTAGCCATGAAAGCTCATGGATGATGGCTTGTTGGTGGTGGTGGTGTGCAGTGGTGATGGTGGTGGAGGGTTCAACTGCTATTAGACCATCACCACCCATGGTGTCTCTTAAGCGTTGTTGCTGGTAGAAAAGAACTTGAACCACAGTTTGCACAGGTAGCCTGTCATTTTGGGCAGCATGTGCACATGCTTCACGTGAAAGCTTTTCACAATCCATCAAGCTGCAAACTTTCTTTTTTTCCATATCACTTAATGTTGGATGAGCCTGTAAAATGTTATACAAATAAGGGTTTATGTAATAATTTAGAAACAAACTATTATGTATGTTTTCATTTAATCACTTTAATGTTATTCAATATGTACCATTATCACGTGGGGCTTATGGTACTCATTTAAAACAATGCAATTTTGTAAAAAAACAAAACAAATGTTCATTACCTAACATTAACTTTTATGACTCCCTATATAAATAATATATAAATGTTAAGAAGAAGAGATACGATATACATACCTTCAAGTAAATATCAATGGCTCTATAAATTCCATCATCTGATACCTTAGCTGTTCTGGAATATGTTCAACAAAATCCATAAATTTTGACAATTCTAAATTCCTATCGGAAGCTATTTCAGCAAGATAACTTTCCATTAATTTTCCAACTTTTTCCATGTTATTTTCTTGGATATTTGTAGATTCTAATTCATATTCAAGGTAATTCATCATGATTCTTTGGACAGTATCAACATCAAACAATATGTCACCATCAAAATGAAAAGATGGAATTAGTATGTCATCCAAGACTGCCTGCCCGAGTTGTAAGCCCATTCGCTTTTCTAAGTCTAGCTTACATGCCATTGTTGTTTCAAGGTATATGGCTGCCCGAAGTAACATTGAAAGAGAGCTGACCGAAATTGTGTTTCTTTCTCTTGGTAGGAGGCTTACTATTGTTTCTAGAACTATCCTCTTTTCGTGTTCTTGTTTTGAGTCGATTTTTTTCTTCTCCTTTACGAGACCCTCCTGTTTGATGTTAAATTGTACATATGAATAAATGGAAAATTAAGTGATTCCTATGGAGTTCTATTGAAAAAAATCTCATTCAATAATGAAGTGATTCATGTAGAAAGTCTATAGCAACTCCAGTTTAAAATGATGTCATTTGGTGACAAGTGAAGAGCCAAACGGTTAATGCAAGAAACAACAATGTATTTTTATTTATTTGTTTACATAGCATCCGGTTTTTATTTCTTTCTATTAAAACATTGTACTTTCATTTTTTTTTTTTTTTTTTGTTATTTTAAAGATTGTACGCTACTTTGATAAATCTATCTCATATATAGCTGTGAAAATAGGTTTCTATTTGGACGAGATTGCTATAACTGGGTAGATTTTTCAAAGTAGCGTACAATCTTTTAATTAAGAAAAACAAAAGTTTGATGATATGTAATGAAATTACACCAACTTTTCTTGCAATTTACCCTTCTTTAAATACTCCTACAACAAAAAGAAATCTTACCAAACCTTGAAGACATTTCTGAGCATAAAGCATTAGAATCGGACCAAGTGCATATTGTTTAAATCCCCTTGATATCATTGCAAGAAGAACCCTTTGAAATACATCTATTCTAAGCATAATTAAATCTTCAACCCTCCAATCAACTATAGCTTTCATATTTGATGAAGAGGAAACCAAATCACCAAAGCAAAACTCACTTTCTTTGGTCACTATATATGCAATAGTATCAATACACCGAGTAATTAACTTCACTTTTTCAGCCATTGGTAACAAATTTATTGATGATTGCAAAATGGTAACAGCACCACCTAATGTTTTAAGTGCTACTTCATCTAAATAGGCTTCAGATCTTGTTACAAGGTTTCCAATTGCATAATCTTCTGTCATTTCAAGAAACTCTGAAACGCATCTCACTATGGAAATGTTTTCTGTTGATAATTCATAATTTATTCCATAACAAAACTTTGCAGCAAGTTCAAATCCTTCAGGGCCTCCAGGGACATCAGGGATTTCAATTACTAAAATATCAGAATCTTTGTGGTTGGATACAATTTTTCTTATGTAACCACACTTTGACACCAATGGAAACTGCATAAAATTATAGAAATAAGATGGATAATTACAAGAGGATACACACAATCACAAATCATACCTTGTGTAATGAAAAAGAAGCACCTCCAATGTGAATTGTAACATCGCTTGGGATCTCATGGGAGAGAATCCTGTTAACACTGAAATTAAAAAAGCTCTTTAAATATTCAAACATACAAGTATGGAATAAAAATTGAGACAAATGAAAGCAAACCAATCACTAGTTTTCTTCATGGAATTGGCCATAAGTTGGTGACTCTAGTCTCTTGGTAGGCATTTTAAGGGGTCTAAACATCTACTGTATCAATAATTAATTGACTAATCATAACAAAAATCTTGTTATGTATTTCACCATATAATCATTAAGATAAAAAAGCTTTACAAATTACAAGCACCAAGATTTTTACTACTCGATCACCTAAGGTTTCGTTCGAAAAGACGTGGCCAAAATCCAAACCAAAAAAGGGGAGTTCAAATCTGCCCCAACAACAAAAAGGACAGACGACAAATCTAGGTGGGGAACTCCAAAATCTCGTTCATATCATTTCTTTCATTGTAACAAATAATGAAATACAACTGGAATTTTTTTCTTTTTTAACTTGGTCTAAAATCGTTTGGTTTGATGTGACTGATTTTTGGATCTTTGAAAAACAAAATTGTGATTATTTTGTCTAAAGAAAATTAGTATCTAAGCTATTCACGATACTAACCATATTTGGAAAATCTTCAACGTCTCATGATAGTGTATAACAAAGTTAAGTAAAATGTGTGGACATTGAGCATTAATTATTTGGAAAATTATTCAATATCATAGCTTTATCAGATCCTACACAAAAATGGGTAACTTCTAGCTGTTACTAGTGGCGATCCTCATCTAATCTAATCTATATAATGCAAAAGCATCAAGCGCAAAGCATGTTTAATTTAGACATCATATCCTCGAATTTGATTGGTATAATAATAACTAAGGTTACAAAGTACGATAATGTAATTTGTTGGACATCTATAGAAATATTAGATCCCCTGGCGAATTCATAATTTAAACTTTGTTGTCCCACTTAATGTGACAAAATTAACGACTCCAAAAAAAAAAGTTTGGTAATCAGATCAAGCTATCAATTATACAATCTGCGACAAGTTTTATGATAAGAAAATTTACTGAATTAACTTCAAATTTAAGCTATTATATACTTTTAAGTTTTAAGTTGTTTAAATATTTAATGTTACATATAACTATAATATGATAAAATAATAGTTTATTTTTCCTTAAATTCATAGCATTACACAGGGAATATGGAACACGGGATTGTACCTTTTGTGAAATTAAAATTTGTTGGGTTGTCGGTAGCTTAAATTGCCATTATTTGGATGGTGGGTATGGGTCTTATTAGAATATGCCAAGATCTTCATCTAACAAATGCATGGAGTCGTCTAAACAATTATAAGCTAGAACTGTTCTCATGGGGAGGCGAAAATGTGCCGAAGGTTTTACCGGAAAAGATGGATGAGATGGGTGGACTACGGTGGAGAAGGAAAAAGAAAGAGGTTAATCCGGCATGTGAAGTCGACATATGAAGTCAACCAGGTGATACGTCAATATGAATTATAAACACATGTTCGATGGTATTGAACTTCGGAATAGTTCTACCACATAGATACACATACCAATAAGATAAAAATCAAAAAATTATTAAACAAACAAATACAACCATTGCAAAGCTCCAGCATTACATAAGCCAAACACAAATATCAAACGAGGGGCGAAACACAAGCACTATAGCTAGGGACGAAATTAAAACTTCAAAACAAAACCATATAGACAAAAAAAATTGGTTCAAAATTATGACATATCAAAATTAGAAACAAGAAAACTAATAATAAATATTGTTAGATCGCACTTCAAAGTGGAACTCGTCGATCTTTTACTTTTTTGAAATCTTGCATAATTGTTTCTAGACTAATCGTTTCGGCAAGTTTCCTTTCAAAGTGCAAAACCATGAGTCGTTCAAAAACTCATCTTCCATCTTATTATGTAACCTTATTTTAATATGGTTCATCTCTGAATATGATCTCTCTGTTGTAGCAGTGAAAATTGGAAGATTAAGTATGAGACTAGCTACTCGATAAATAAGATGAAAATTAGCCACTCTTCCGGTCATTATCAAACCATTGACACAACTCTGAAATAGATGCCAATAGTTTATAATTTGTGTGTTTAACGATAATAATCTCATAGTGTTGAAGTTGTATCTTCAAAAGTAATTTCTCTTGTTCACTAAAATCTTCAGGATAAAACTTCTTCATTAACCGGCATACATCAACACTTTGAAAAGACTCATTAACACTTTTAATTAGGATTTAAAGTTGTTGAAAGTTGAATCGACTCCATTGATCTATCGTTAAACCGGTGATTCAATTCCATTAATTGACAATTAATGGCTTCGTAAAAGATATCCACTCGGTAATGATGTTCAAGTGTATGATCGTTATGCTCCTTACGAGCTCGAGCCCCTCTGCTAAAGTAGGCAGACGATAAATCAGGGATATCAATCTCGCGATCCTGACAAAATGACTTAATGTGTGTGTGTGTGTGTGTGAGAGAGAGAGAGAGAGAGCAAACCATCCTATCTTTCATCTTTCAAATTTTGAAAAAGCTCTGTGGTGGATGCAACTAGCTTCAAACATCTTGAGATTGTATTTGTAAAGCTTGACAAAGTAAATCAATTATCTCCATTATTTCCTTCACGAGATGAAAAACAAAATGAACTCAAATGTAGTAATAATCTCATATGTTGAATCTGCATCCCTTTTAATCGGACCAGTGCCGTCCTCAATAATTTTAAATCAAACCTCGCAAGTAGGACTAAACATTTGACTAAACTCGAAACTGATTTGAGGTGAGAGCTCCATATAGTATTTCCAACTCATTGTAATGTACTAATATGATTGAGACCTCTGCCTATCTGTAACACATCAATAAAAATCATATATGCAATTTGCTCGGCTTGTGCGTCTCTTAGTTGGTCAGTACACTTGGAGGAAGCACCTACAACATTAATAACAAAAGATAACTTAGTAAAAAACTTTTGCACTACAACAACTCCTTGCGAAGTGTCCATTAATGCTAATTGTAATCGATGAACAAAACAATTAATATAATAGGCATATGGACTATCTTTTGAAATCAATGCTTGCAAACCCTTGAACCGACCTTACATATTGCTTGCACCATCATACCCTTGACCACGAATTTATCTAAAAT